AAAATTATAACTCACTCATTCACTCAGACTCCTTTACTGGAAGCAATCATCTACCACTCCTCCCACTTTTATTTTACCATGTATTTCACTCCATTCATGGATGGCTAAGCCTCTAGGACTATTCGACTGTAATTTTATTATGAATTCTAAGGTTATGTTGAATTAATGTATTTGTTTCTTTTGATTACTGATTTGAGTTATTCTTCTTCTATGTTTGTCATCTCTCAATCATATTAAAAGTATTGATTTTTGCATCATACAGTGTTTGAATCTACATGCATATTAATCATATGAGTTCAAGGGTTTCTAGGTTTGATTGATAATTTACTTTGATTGAATTTAGGAACTTTCATATCATTAAACATGTTTTTGATACTAATTGAAAATGTACTTCGATTGGTGGTAAGAATTTCATCTATAATTAACTGAGAATTTACCTTGATTAATTAACTTTTAATTTGGTTAAGAGATTTAAGAATAGACATTATTAAACACAATAGGATTTGAATGAGAATGTACTTTGGTTGAATTCATTGTGAATAATCTAGAAAAGTTTTGCATTTGATTGAGAATCTACTTTGTTTAATTGTATGATCTCTATCAAATTAATTAAGAATGTACCTTAATTAATTTGTAACCCGAATAATAATCAATTGAACAATGATTTGTGGATAACTGATGATGAATCTATCTTGAAAAAAAAATGAAATTAGCTTATTTAATTATAATTGTTTCAAAGATTCTCATTTGTTCTCCAATTAAACTCAACATTCTTCAACATTAAATTCATTATGATAGATTTTCATTTTTATTTTTAAAGCATTGCCCAACATTTACTAACCTTTTGAGGGTTTTCATAAGAGTCAAGTATTGAAAAACAATTATGTATTCTTTGGGAAACGATTCAAGGTTACTTTAATCCTATCTACTTTTTTTACTACTAACTTGACAATACTAAAGTTTGTAGATACTAGTGTCTCGCGCAGCGGAATGTTTTAAGAGGCAGAAAGCATGTTACGGTCAATAGCCAAGATAAAATGGTTCTTTTTAAAATCTTGATTTTCTTTAAAGACTGTTATCAAACAGTTTGAATGCTAAAGAGATAGAGTTAAAGAAAATCAACACAAAATTTTTTATCCTGGTTCGATTCAAAAGATTCTGCATCCAGTCGTTAATCACTATAAACAGTAATTAACTTTTCACTAAAATATTGTTCAATGATTGCAATAGGATGGAATAAAGAGTAAGAACAGAAAACACCTTCCTTCGACAAACGAATGGAAGACTCTGCTCAATCAATTTCAAGAGAACCGCTTCGACCTTAGACACATTAAGCGCAAGCTTCTCCTATTCACAAGACTTGATTTGAGCAACTTTAACACTTGACAACTTCCTCAGAACGTATCTGTATTCTCAAGTGGCTTAGATAACCCTCTAAGAGGTTTGGTAAAGAGTATATATAGCCTAGAGGTCAGAAACTAAAAAGACAACTCCCAACTACTAGTGATAATCGATTATCACAAGTGATAATCGATTATTCATGTCCGTTATGGGGTTTTCAAAACATGATAATCGATTATCCTGAGGAATAATCGATTATTTGCGCGAGACACTGATATCTACAAAGTTGACTTGTAAAGTAGTATTAATTTGATAGTTTCAATGACAGTGTATCAGTAAGCCACTAAGTGTTTGACAGAACGAAAGGTATTAGTATAATGTGCTAAGCCCCGTCAAAAGATATATAATTATCTGATATCTCAAACATGTCCAAGGCATAAGACATAAAAAGCATCAAACAATATATAACTCCTAACATAGTGTCTAATCAACATAGTGGTTGAACAAAATGATAAAATGTTTGAACATCAAGCTTTGCTAAGCATTACTAAACGATATACATGAGCTTAGACGACCTTATTATGAAACAAGAGCTTAAATGATCATATTATCTAGGTACAACATATCAAATGCTTTGCCTTTAAATAAGCTTATTATCAAACAGTGTTGACATTTGCCAAAGTGTTTTAAACACGCAATGTGCTATATGATCATCAATGTTTAAAATATTTAATGACTGTACGAAAAAGTGTTTCCTTGCTTGCATGCTCTGCTCTCGTTTTCTGTGAAAGTAATGTCGACAATAAGCTTTATTCATAAGCACTACATAAAGGACAAAAGGACGTTGAGAGATAAGAAGGCATTCCTAGAATGTTTCCTCAAAGCCTTTAGATTTGGCAAACCGTACAAGTTACTCATGAATGAAAGCACTACTAAAGCACTACCACCCTACAACATAGACTTGAGTTTGACCAGCTACCTCAAAAAGGCTATGAAGTCTAGAAGTCAACTCTGCATCCAATTGTCATCTCGCAAGAAGACTATATGAAAAAGTTTCACAAATGAGAAAATGTTGTTCTTGAAGTTGAAGAAGGTGATAATAGAAGAGAGAAGAGGAGAGAGAACATATACAAGAAAGATTATTGAATATTAGCTCTATTCTACCTCAAAGCTTATATCGTATGAAGTTCTTCAACCTAAGAGAAAGAACTACACAAGTTCACAAATTGTATTATATTGCATTGATCCTCTCTTTGAGAGTTACTTAAATTTGTACTTATAATCAAACACTGATTGCGTTTTTATATTATGAAGAGAATTAAAACACTTGTATTAAGCTAAACGTTCTAGTCAGGATTGACTAGAGGAACCAGAAGTAATTGATAATACTTGTATACCATGAGTGGTCAGAATACTTGGATACCAAGAGCCGTTAAACTTGGACTAGTAATGATTGACTAAAGGAACGAATAATGGTTTATAATACTTGGAGAACTAAAAGTGGCTATAATACTTCAAAACTAGGAGTGATTGATAATACTCAGTGTATACTAGAAATGGTTTATACTTGTTTGTAATCTTGGATAAGATTAGTGGAATCCCTTAAGAGTTCTTGAGAGACTGAACGTAACTCAAATTGAGCAAACCAATATAACCCTTATTTGAAAGGTTTTCCTAAAACACTTTATTGAAAACACAAAAGTTTATCCATCATTGCAAACCGTCTACCCTCTACAATAGTTATTAAGCATTGATTTATGAAAAAATTTAAAAACACTACTCAAACCTTCCTCTTTCCTCTGTTTCATTTGCCTCTTCTAATATATTCTTCTTTATGTCTATATCTAAATTAAATTTTAATACTTATTTGGTGCAAATAAATCATTTATATAATTAAAAATAGGTTTAATAAGTTATTTAGTCTCTAAATTCACCGCTAAGTCTCAACTTCGTCCCCTTTTTAAAAAAGTGTTAATTTCGTTCTACTTTGTATAATTTTACCAATCTAGGTCTATTTCGTTAAATTGGCAGAAACGAAGTTAAATATTTGGTTATGTGACAAATAAGTCTGTTTTTTTTTTTGTCTCTCTTGTGCTCCTCCTACAATGCGTCTAAAAGTAACAAACACATTGACCTTTTCATTACTTACTTTTTTTTCTCTTTAAATTCATTTAAAAAACTATAAACTTTTATGAGAATTTTCAAATAGTAATTTATAGCAATAAAAACAGTATAAATAAGTGATAAATGGACTGCATGCTAAGGCATACTTATAATTTTTAATGAACTGCTACAGTATTTAATTATTTATGAGTTATCTGTTATGTTTTTTTTTAATTTTAAATAAAATACGTATGCGTTATTTTAAATTTTATTATTATAAATAATTTTATCTCTCTTTTTTGTTAGTTAAATTTAATGAAAATTGTTAAAAATAAACCTTGTATCAAATTTCGGTTGGCCAATTTTATTTGTTTTCTAATTTTATTTTTTTAAATAAAATAATTATTTTATTAATTACATTTTTTTAATTATCGTTTATTTAAAATTTTCAATTTGATATTTTTATTTTAATTTAACCATTCTTTAATTTAAACATTTTTATTTACAAAACTATTTATAAAATAAATAACAACTATTTACAATAAAATTATAGAAATTATTTATATTTAATTTGATATTATTAATAATAATAATTTTATTATTTTTAATTATCATAAAAAGAAATTTGAACAGTAATAAATGTGTTTTCACAAATAAATAATTATAGAGATTCAAATTTAAAATATCTCAATGTTAGATTATTTTAATTAGATATATATTATAAATATATACTTATATATATATATATATATAAATATATAAAGTGAATTTATTTTATTGTCATTAAGTTTTTAATTTTATCCTTTAAATATATATTTTTTTAAATTAAAATAAATATATATAAAGATAATGACTTCTATATCCAGAGCAAGAAAAATGTATGTGTACTTTTATAGAAGAATATTTTTATTTTAAAAAAACAAAATAAACTGTGATGAATTAATTACAAAAGTTAAAATATTAGTATTTTATTAGATGTTTGAAATGTATAGAAAGATTGAAAGGTGTATAAATTATTAATTTTTTTAAATAAATTTTTTTGAAAAAAAATTAGTTGATAATTTCTATTATAATTTTAAATAATATATAAATCATTTTAACTTCGAAGATGTTATATCATTGATTATAAGACTGTGTAACTCTTCTCGATAAAAAAAAAATGTATCCGTGACTCAATGCAAAACTTTTTAATAATGAGTTGCTTTTAATTTTCTCTTTCTAATGATTTTTTGTTTGTTATTTTTTAAAAAATAATTTTTATAAATATTTTGACTTGGCAATTTTTTTATAATTCAGGAAACTATTGAGAATATTAATTTTATATTTTCAATAAAAATATTTTAATTTTCATCGTTATTCAATAAAAAATTATCAATAAAATGTAAGAAAAAGGAGAAATTTGTACTTGTGCATTATATTTGTGTAATTGATTTTCTTTCTCTTTTTAAACTTGTGATTAGTGAGTAGCAGTAATAGGTAAGTGGTGGTGTTGATACATGTTTCCCTGTGTGATTGGAATATATTCACGAAAAAAAGTCAGTATGCTTTTGACAAACTTAACGAATATGAATGAGTTCTAATTCACACTTCCTTTCATGGATCACTTGAGATGGAAATCAAATAACAAGAATGAAGCATCTGGAGGAACACAATCCTCAAATCACCTCAAAATAATGGCCTACCAAGAAAAAAGGAAGGGGAGAAAAAATAACTTTACAATTATGTCAAACACAAAGTGGCATATCTTACAATATATTGGAACCACCACATAGCAATTGGCTACTATCCGAAACAGCCATAAACCTAAACACAAACGGGGAAGCATTTGGCTAAGCTCTTCTCTGGTGTATATATATAGGCCAACAGAAAGAGAAGAAATGCTGGCACAAATCAGAAGCCAATCTGAACTATGAACTCTCACATTATGATGCAATTACACTTTGATTCAAGCTTATTAGGGGGCTTCATGCTGTCTACCTTGTTAGGAAGCCCAACATTGCGTATCAAAGACTCATCACTATTTTCATCATTCTCAGTCTTCGAAGGGGATTCTGATTTTACATCAGTTTCTACCTTCTTGGGCCTGGCCTTCTGAGGTTTCATAGCACGCTTGCGGCCAATCTGGCTGCGCGTGTCCTTTATATTGGAATTGGGTTTCCCCAATATAGTCACTGTCGGCTCAGAACCTTCCAATGGTTCTGAGTGTTCCTTTTCCATTGAAATCGTTGCAGCTTTATATGCAAGATCATGGATGATTGAGCTGCAGAAAAGTATAGTATCTGTTGCCTCTTCAAGTGTCAAGCTTCTGGTGTTAACACCATCTTGACACTCCACCGTAACTGTGGATCCTTCTGGGAAATAGCATTAAAAATCTGTCAGAAATTTTCCTAGTTCTAATATTTTCTCCAAATAAAGGTTCAGCAGATAAAATAGATTACAAGCGCCAAAGAAACCATGTACATTGAGAAACAGATTTCTTGTACTCCCCGACTAGTAATGAAGTATTAGTTCAGATTTCAGAAAACTCGTAGAAAAATATTACAGAATACACCCACGCTATAAGTTGCCTGAAACATTCCTGCTAACAAGTTCCTCAAGAGCAGCGGTTATGAAAGCAAAAAATAGAAACTTTTTATTAAAAAATTACCTCGGGGTTGCATTGGAAATTTTGGGGAGTGCATTTGTTATACTTTGTAATAAAAAAAAAATTCACTTCTGATTCAAAAACACAAAAGTCAATCCAAAACACAAATCTTCAGGCAAATTGGAAACTGCGCAATTAAATTGCTGCTGACTAGCACTCCTAACATACCAGGCACATCAATTCAGATTATTATCATTAGTAAAAAAATGTCAAGAAACAACCTTCCAAAGTATACTTACTAACTCTATCTGTTAGAAAACAAGACCATGAAATTTATTTATCTCTTTAAAGTTTACATATGACAAACTATGAGCTATGTACATACAACACTGCATTTGAGATACGAGAATAATTTAAGGTTGTCACAAAATGTTTTCATGTTCATCTCAAACAGCGTCATACCTATGCCAGGGGAGTACTCGGAGGCATTGAGCTCAGAAACAGAAGCTGCAAGACAATCACTGGAAGAAACTGAAACAGAATGTTCCTGAAAATCATCAACAGGGAACTTTAATACAAGTGATGGATCATCATCCACCACCCCGGTATCATTCTGAGAACACTTTTCCCCATCTATTTCTGATTCTTCAATTGTAGAAGTGCTGGTAGTTACCAGAGCATCCAGTCCATCAACATTAGAGTTCTCCATATCCTTTTTCTCATCAAAAAATGACTCTGCATCCTGAACTGATGTTTCGGTATTTGGCACACTGCCCACATTATTCGGATGGTCTTCAATTCTATCACTTAAAATACAGATTTCATGATTTGGAAATGATGCCACTGAATTGTGATCAGGCGGAACACCAGTAGCCGGGCTTACTACTACTGAGATACAAGCATCAGCTGTTCTACTACTATCGTGGTATTCAAGATTACCTTCCTTGACAACAATGGAACTCATAGAAGAAGAATCAATCACATCTGTCACTGTATTTTCTGAAGCTTGCATTTCTCGAAGATATTGGGGTATCTCCTCTAGGTTGCTGCATTCAGTATTGCCAGATGAAGTTTCTTGCCTAGTAAAACCTAATCCATGGTAAGAATGGGTTGATGTTCCAGAAAAAGATGAACCAGGGCTTGGAGGCCTGATCCTAACGTCATATCCATAGTCTACATCCAATTTCCTGCCACTTGACTGCCTTTGGACACGAAAATCAGAATGTCTTGTTGAGCTGAAATCAACAGATGATGAGGTAGAATAGCTGCTACGCCCAGTTGAACTTCTAATACTGTTAATGCTGTTTCTTGCAAAGGACAGGTCATCATAAGATAGAGTTGTGGCAGTAAAAGTCCTGCCCTGAATTACGGGTCCTTTGCTGCTGCTTGACCTTTTCAGTAGTACAGAGATGCCAGTTCCTTCCAAGAGGTCAACTTTCAAAATTGAGCGGTCTTTGGAAAGAGACAACTGCTGATCCCCGGAATGATTATCAGGCTTCTTGTAATCAACCCCTGACTGGTCCACCTCTAGCTGGTTAGTAGACATCTGCTCATTTCTCTCCACTGAACTTGAGAGAGGATTTTGTTGCGTGTGGTCCAAAATATATTCACTGGGAAAAGTTTGATTTTCCTCTGCATCCGGTTCTCCAAGGGGAAACCTCACGTTACCCACATTATTATTCTCTTGAGACAGTCTAGACTCAACAGCTAGTTGGTCTGTATCATGTGATGGCTTTTCTTCTGTAGAAATGCTTATGGAATTCACTGAATTGTCATTGGAAACTGCCAAAGTTGCCTCCGGGATGATATGTCTCAACAATGTGGTTTTCCTGCTGCATTCTTGACATAGTCTAAGATTCTTCTCAGTTTGATCAGTGGCCTCCAGAGGACAACCACAATTAGAACAGATTTCTGTATTCTCAAAAGCACCAGTTTCAGAAATGTCAGCTATGGCCTGGGAAGTTTCTAAACTTTTACTGAATTCTTTGTCAAGACCATGATAAACAAAAGTTTCAGATTCAGTGGGACCTAAACCAATCATAGGACCTATACTATTATTGTGAAGGACATCAACTGATTCATCATTGATCTCATGATCAATGTTTACATTTAATACATCAATTTTATCAAAGGAAAATACTTCTTCATGAATGTCAGCATATACTATCTTTTCACTTTCACTGGCCACATCTTCTTGATTGTGGTCACTCCCTTCAGTATCTGGTGCAAAACTTGTACCATGATCAGAGCTTGCATTGCTGCTTGTTGTGACAGAGGAGTTCCTAGATACCAGGGATCGTTGGGCAGAATTTGCTTTTCCAACATAAAAGGTTGTACTTGGCACACTTGACAAGAGAGGCCTGAACATGTTCTGAGGACTTTTTTTATCCTGGCACAGCAAGGTTGGTTAACAAACAAAGTAAGCAGTTTGGTCCCAAGTTCCCCAACCAACTCTTAAAGACACAAGGGAAAAGATAAGGGCAAAAGGTGAGGGGAGCATGAATGAATGAACAACTCTACAACAAAAACTCATTCGTGACTAAGAACAGCAACTGTGTAACTTGGTTATGATAATCCACGTATGCCACTTTTTATATGCAGCACAATAAACAAGCTTGTTAGTGACTTTGCTGAAGTAATTTACTTGAATAATAGTCTTATCATGTGTAGCTTAAAAACAAACCGAGAGGAAAGAAAACATGAACCAGAAGAACCAAATAAAGCATTGTACCCGAGATTATAGATATAAATAAATCAAATATGATTGTACTATCCAGGTGACAGGGCTCACCTCAATCCAATCCTACCTAACCACACCCGATTGATTCCACAGTAACAACCCTGGAAGACCCAGGGAATTGCGTAGCAACAGGGGATTCTAGCCAACAGTCCCTGAGTATTGGGGGAAATACACACATACTAGAAATTATATCAAAGTTTTGGTCACTAGTAGCCTAGAAAGATCGAAGATGGTTGGCTCCCTCCAAATTCCATTTAAATTGTTATGATTTTGACAAGTACCCAAGCAACCCACACTCAAAAGCTAGCTATTATAAAGGGATAACCAAATACTTAAATATTCCACCGAGCAACTCATACCACTAGATCTGGGACTTAAGCAACCTATTCACTTTACATTGCAACCAGCTTTGGTACCAAGTGACAAGTATCCAAGCACTTGGAGAACCCACCTTCAAAAGCTAATTATTAAAGGAGAGAACCACCTAAATATTCTACTGAGCATCTTATACTACTCTATGTGAGACTTGAGTACCTCATATACCCAAGTTCCTTTTAAGAATGTTCTAACTTATTAGCATATGAGAAAAGGAAAGTGAGTGAAAGAGGGAAATTGTGTGCATGCATATGCAGAGTTGACTGAACGTATCTTTTTGTCAAACGAGAATTTTAATATAGAAAATTTAGGAATATCATATTAAAAACAGCCTATTTAGTTGAAATTACTCAACGAACTATAAAATGATTGAGAAAGTAAGTCAAGAGATTAAGAAAAAAATACCATTTGCCGGAGAGCAGAATCAAAAGATCTTTTAGGAGCAGAACTTGGGGACACCATCCTGGCTGGCTTCTTGGAAAATGAGGGAGATTTGCTGTTTGAAAATGAACCACCCCTTCTTGAACCAAATCGGTCTAGACTACCCACAGGGATGGACTGAAGAGAGTCCAGATCATCATCACCTGAAGATATGACAGAACCTTTGCTGCGTGAACTAAATTGATCTCGATCATGACTATTAATATAACTGCTGCTCCTGGAAGGTGTGGGAGACATTGATTGCCTACCCAATTTAGAAGTAGAGTCCCTACTATTTCTGGATGCTGGGGAGGAACCCCTCACATATGATGCCGGTCGATCAGCCAAAGATGTCCGGAGATTAGGAGGAGCTTCAGAAGAGAAACCAGGAATATTAGTTTGCCATGCTCTTATCTTTGGTGAAGCAGAGTTTCCACGGCTTGTTTTAACAGGGGAAGTTCCCCTAATCCCTGATGAGACAGCAGGACTACCGGAGCCAGTGCTGATTCGCCGAGGAGTAGGAGTAGAGGACCTAGAAACATTTGTTGCAGGCTTTGTTGGAGGTGGAGATGGTCTTCTTGTTGGAGTAGCCTGTCTGATAACTTGAGTTGGACTAGAATTTGGCGTCAATGAAGACCTTCCCCTCGGTTGCAATGTGTTATTCACAGATCGAGGAGATGAGCTTAAGCGATTAGGACTTGCACTACCCCTACTGCTTTTGTAACTTCTCTCCATCTGAAAGAGTCCAACAAAAGGTGGATAGTGAGTAACATAACACACTTTTCATACAGAGAAGAAAATATTAGGATTTTTATTCAAGAGGTAATTGTGCACAAAACAGATTTGAAAACACACCGTAGATGATCTTGATATGGAAATGGGTTTACTCCGAGGCCTTCCTCTGCTCACAACATTTATTTCTGCTGGTTCATCTTCTAGTGAAGGAAACAGTGGAGTGTCCGGTGGTGTCAACAACCTTTAAACGTATAAAACAGAAATGCAGCATCAGTAAAGTAATGCGCACATCTAATTCTAAACCTTCGGAAAAAAGGGGTTTTGCATTATTGATCAAACTATTGGTGTGAAAGAAACACACTTACAAAAAGTTGGAATTGAAATCATAAAATTTGATCATACCACATCATTTAACATAGTAAGATTCAAAAAACATAAAAGACTACAAACCAATCATAGTCATTCTTGTCACCATCTACATTAAGCAATTCACTGGTTTCTCCTCGACCGGGAATGGATATCCCAAGCTTGATATCAGAAAAATGTCTCAACTTCTGAGCTGCAAATTAATATAAAAAATGGGGGAGAAATGCATGAGTATCACCCATATAAAGCAACTGATAAATATATACATTCTGTCCTCAAGAAGTGAGAAAAGAAGATTACAAAATGAGTCTTCCAGGTCATCTGATGGCTGAAGCAAAAAACTCTCTTTTTCTCTGGACTGCATTTCACTGAACAAAGCAAGATCATCATCTTTCTCTCTTAAGTGCAATCCACTTTCAAGACTGCGCCCTCGCTTGTGACTGTCTGATCTTGGCTCTCTACCAGGAGAGTATCTAAATGCTGGGGAAGGTGGCATCTCCCCTACCCAATGCAATGTCCAAAAAGTGTCACCTCAAGTTCTCCATACAATCCAAAGTCAAAAACCTTCAACACCCTAACCAACAAACAATGATTACTGTTAACACATAGCACAACTCCATACAACAATATCAGCAAAAAAAAACCCACTTTCATTCTCCAAGTATATCTCCTCAGGCTTCGTTACTCCTTCTAAAGACTCAACAAACACTAGCACCATACCCAATGTGACTGAGTCAACCAACCCACATATCCCAAAACAAGCAAAACTATATTTGGCATATTAAAACAACTGTACCATTCCAAACGCAATGCTTAACCCCTCAACATTCATATGCAATAAGCATCCAAAGCTAATACTGAAGATATCCCCTCAACCTGAAACCCTAGAACATTGGCCAGGAATAGATCCTAATTACGCCGTTTCACCACCGACCAAAAGGGTAGTCAATTTAAACGGCAAAATTCAAGCTGGAGCACCCATTAAGCCAAGTTCAGACCTTACAGCGAAACATGGCTCACCAAATTCCCAAGTCAAATAGCTTCAAACAAAGTGCGAATTCGAAGATTAAAAAACAAAAAATAATAAAAACAAAAACAAAAAAATAGAGCTTAAATGCCAATTACAATGCGACGAATGTTGTCTCAGACACCCGGATCTACAGCATTCATGGCTTCTTGTGAGCACCCAAAAGTACAGATCAGAACCAGTGTGATCCAACGGTTCCAACAAACTCTAAAAAAAATCCATTTTTCTCTCTCCTCACACAATTCTTTTTTTTTCAGTTCTGAAAAAAAAAACAGAATATTGAACTGCAATTTGAGAATAATAATATTAATACTCAACCATAACCTTTGTTGTCCTTTGATTTGCTGTTTTGTCCTAAACAGCAAGCATTCTTTCCTCTCTTTTATTTTTTTCAGCTTCCTTTTCAGTTCTTTTTTTCTGCCGTTACAAGTGCCTCGTAGATTCCCTCGTTTTTTTTACATACCTTTTTTTTCCATCTTAAATGCCACTCCAATATTGTTAAGAATTCTTTATGTCTTCTATTTTTCTCAATTTGTGTAGAAGAACTAAAATACATTAATTAGTCGATCTTGATGTCTATGATTTTTGTTCCACTTGATATTATGGCTCATGAACCATTTTCTACCATTTTAATTGCTAACATCAATTGGATTGAATGAGACATTAATATTATAATTGAGCTGGTCGAAGGTTACATGTGTAGGTAAATGCCTAGGGTGTTACATGCCACATTGAAGACAAGTTTGAACTTTTGGACCCTTCATCGCATAAACGAGCCATAATAATAAGTGATAACAATATTTAATGGCTGGGGTCAATTTTTGGGACTAAGCTATTAAATTTCTCATCACATTCAGTAATATTAAATGTACAGTTACCTTACATTGATCCGTACAGCAACTAAAAAGTTTTGACTCGTTGAAAGTTCCAAAAGGAAAAGGAAAAACAAGAGCTATTTACTAGTAGCAGTAACATTTTAGCCAAACATGTTCTAAATTTGAAGTTCCAAGAATGAACGAAATTAGCATTGTTTAGAACAATGTTGGGACAGTGTACGAGAGACCCAAATGTGTGTATAAGAAAGTCCATCTCAGGAGGACTGAAGCATCACGGTCAGGGGCTTCGTTTTGGTGAGGTTTTGCACTTTGAAATAGTTGATATGTCCTAATTAGTTTTTTTGTGGCCTAAGGTTTCTATCCATGAAGGAAGAGAATAGTATTTTAAAGGAAAAAACCAAGATGAAAATAAGACTAAAAATCCAATAAAAAAAAAGGTGTATTGGAAAAAACTTGAGAAGAAAGTAAGAAGGGATAAAAGAAAGTTGTGTGGGGACTGGGTGGGATAAAGTCAACTTAACAACTGAGTTATGATTAGGCAATAGATAGGTGTGTTCACTAATGTGAAGATTATCGAATCATGTCACTTTAATTGGTAGGTGATGAAGGAAACTTAAAAGGCTACTATGCTAATCATTTTCATTGCTTTATTATGCCTTTATCTTCTCTTTGCTTTGCTTTGGTTTCATTTTGCTCCTAAACACATTTTCCCAAGCAGAGTTTAACTTAGCCAACGGTCGTCGCCATTTCCTACTTTTTCTGTCAACACAAAAATCACAGCTTTTAATTTAAAGAGAAATTTAAGACTATTTCTAATTAAAAAATAGGAATTTGGATTTTCGTTTTTTTGTTTATTACTTTTCACCTTTTAAAATATTATTATTTATTATCTTTATTCTTAAAAAATATTGTTTTCTTATTTAAATAAACCTCTATCGCCGGTGATGAGTGCATTGATGATTTAGACTTGGTACCATTTATCATAGCAGTCCTTTTAATAAATAACCCCACAGGTTAGCTCAACTGTTATAGCATGACGATCCATTAAGACCAAGAGATATTGCATCCAAAAATCATTCCAGGAAGATAAACATGTTCTTAAAATATTTATTAAAAATTAAAATATAAATTATAGATTGTTATTATTATTAATATATTTCTATCATGTTTTTCCGTTTAACTAATTGTTTTTATTAAACATGTATTTTTAATATATTTAGAATATTTGTTAGTAAGACTCAATTTATTATCAAGCACGTGTTTCTCTCTCTAGGTTAGGTTTCCCTTCTTGTAAGTGATTCAACTTTACGCAGTGAGATGGAAAATGGGATTTTTTTTATGTATGGATCATTCCGGAATGAGAGATAATAATAGAATAAAACTCTTTGTCCCAAATATTTACTAGTTTTGATCTTTATTTTGTGTGTACTTTTGTATGATCATATGTTTTAGTATAAAATACGATTATTATAAATAGAAATTACTAATACAATAATAAGCTAACAAAATAATGTAAAATTTTAATTTTGAAAATAAATAAATTCATTAAATTTTAAAACATTTAAAATTATCTTTTCTCAGGAATTATTCTTCTTGTTAAAGATAAAACATATGAGAGTTTACCAAATAAACTCTATGAAGAAAGAGTGGTGAGTCATAATGAATAGACTTAAACATCTTATTTCTAACTAGGAAAATAAAATTCATTTAAAAAAAACTCAATTTTTAACACAATTAAGACTTTTAGAATTTAAAAACTAAAGATAATAAATCAAATACATAGAACAAATATTGCACACAATTACCACTCTTTTGAGTACCTCCATGGCCATATGGAACACATGTCTCTTTCGAGAAACCTCCCCTATTATGGGCAAATATAAAGCTCTTCCGAGCAGCCTCCCCAGCTATAATGGAACACAATGCTCTTTTGAGCAGTCTCCCCAACTATGGTGGAACACAACGCTCTTTCGAACAACCTCCTTGACTAAAGTGGAACACAATCACAAAAACTAAGAAGCTTTCACAAATATATATATATATATATATATATATATATATATATATATATATATATATATATATATATATATATATATATATATATATATATATATATATATATATATATATCTTCACAAAACTCATCTTTTTTAACATATTTATCCCAAATACTTATGTAACACATAACATACCGAAAGTTTCATTTTGTTATCACAATTTTAAAAAATTTATTAACAAACCCCTTTGTTTGTTGGGAAAAAATATTATGCTAAGAAAATTCACTTGAAAATACTTCTTAAATCAAGTGATAAATGAGTTTGTCATGGTTTTGAAAATGATCCTTTCATTCCTTTTCAACTTAAGGAAAATATGCATACTTTTGAAGAACTTCTCAATTTGAATTATAGAAGAAAACGAAATGCTAAATATGATGTAAGAACAAAGAACATCCACTAGTGCAGAATTGACTTTTAACGTCCCCTCATAGACGTCCGTCCACAAAAGCCCCAACGTAAATAATTGACCGGTGGCATATTCGTAAATAAGTGAAACTCTAAACGTTCGTCCTGAGTGGGGCCAGACATCTATAATATTATAGACGTCTGTGGGAGGGGGACGGACGTCTACGAGACTGAAAAACTGAACGCTTCAACTCCCCATGTCAGTCCTTAAACGTCCGTCCTTGGAGGGCTCGGACGTCTATAATATTATAGACGTCCGCCCCCTCTCCAACGGACGTTTAGGGGGCTGACAGGGTGGTTAGAGAATTAATTGTCTTCAATCCCTTAAACGTCCATCCTGGGAGGTTCTATAAAGTATCCATACATCAAAATGTCAAAAATATGAAAGAGGTTCTTGAGGTAACACATTCACATATATTATTATCACAATAATTTTACAATACAGTTATCACAACATTGTTATAACAATATTGTTATCATATCAACTCAATTCTTTTTTTGCATTTATTACATAACTATAATCATCTTTATCATAAACATATTTTACATAAGACTTTACAAAACCTTTTTGTTAAAAAAGAATGGATGACTTTGTTAAATTAAGAAGGGGTGAATTGATTTTAAAAACTTTTTGTGAAAAGACTTTATTTCTTTAAAAACATTTTTTAAAATCGTTTTATGTATAAACCAAATGAAATATTTGAGAATCTTATTGATACATTGATACAAGAATTGAAAAAAAAAAACAAATGTAAAGGGAGAGATAAAAAAAAGATGAAAAAATTACATAAGAATTTGTATCAGTTTAGATTCAACTAACCCTATATGTAGTCCTCATTTTTTCTGCCCCAGTATCAATAAAAATGTTTGTATAAAAGAAATAGTAGTTACAAACACCACACATAAATTAACTTTTGACCAACTCAAGAAGATATCACAATTAATAGGATATCAAATCTCTATTTAATCATGAATACTAAGAGGATATATGTTTTATCCACTCTTATTGCAAACACACAATAAAACAATATTGATCAAAATCAACAACAAAGTTGAATAAAGTTTACCAATTAATTAGAGCATAAACATGCAAGGACTTCAGAAATTCAACTCAAGAGTTTATACAAAAAATTCGTTTCTTGTGAACATGCCCTAGGTGGTGTTTTCTTAGCTTTTACATTTTTTTATATGCTATTAATTTTTTAGAAGGTTTAGGAAGCAAATAATTTTTACGAGTAGCTTTTATCATTAGTCGATGTCATACTCAACTAAATTAAACAATTAATTGTAGTACTAGGAAGTGATCCTATATCGTCTCTGAGTTACTATCATTTCTAATCAAAGGTTCCAATCCAACACAAGTCACAGGGTTTTGTTTTGGAAAATTCAAAAAACAAGCTAACAATGAAGAATAAAATAATGATAAAAATGTATTGACTCCCTAATTTCAAATGCGATTCCACTATCATAGGTTACGAAATTAGAACCTTGTTTTACTCTTAATCCACCCATGATTAAGCAATTAAGTGAAGATTAACACAAATTTCATCATGCAAGTAAGCAATGCAAACATTATTCAACTTCACACCTACATATTTTAAGCATAGTGTGAACAACCCACACCCATTAAGCATGAATGCAAAAACACAAAACTGAGATTAAGCATACATCAAATTTGTATTCATTCATAGAACAAAGAGATTGAAAGATGAAGAGCAACAACAACAAAACATGAACCGAACAAAACCTCAAAGTTTCGTATCATTCTCCCTAAGAAATCAATATAGAGAGTTTAGATGGCCATAGAAACGGACTTACAATACAATGGAAAATGAAAATGCAAAATAAAGTGTAGAGAAAGAAGGGACAAACGTGAACCAAAAGAGAAGACCAACTCCAAAACATGAATTGAGTGCAGAAAAAATGAAAAACCTTAAGCTGGGTTGTTTTTCAAGTACAAAACATGAAAACC